ATCGCAACCATCCTTCTTTTTGCCAGTTCTTGCAGGCCTGAATGTAATGTTTGTATAACAAATTGGGCTAAATTTTGAAGCTACGGAGTACCAGTCCAGAGGCGGATGGATATTCCGACTGTCTCGTGGCCTATACGGCTTACCTCAATGCCACCACGCAGTTGATCACCACTGCACCCATCGGTCCCGACGGCACCCGCTCCAGCTCCACATGTGGGATGCTAGAAGGGGACTAAGTGTTGGAAGCTTCAGCACCTAAATCAAAAACTAAAACTTCCGATTGCGCGTATCAAGCCGCAAGCCCAAGAATACGCTCACACTCTCGCGAGAAAGAAGTGGAGGGTATTTTGTAATTCTCTAGCCGACAAACTGAGTGTTGCTAACACATGGGACCTTCCCTGAGCACTTATAGCCCCATCGGGCACAAAGAAGCAGACTCAAAAGCGCTTGCATGTTTTCACTCGTTTGTTTAGAAACTCTCAGGAGCGTCTGCCGCAGGAATTAAAAGATGTTACAATATTTTTGAAGTGAGTTACCAGTATCAGCCATTCTCATACGACACAGATTCTGCCAGTGTCCTAGATGCCGTAAATACTTTTCTAGAGGTCTGCTCCGTGTTAAAGGATATACGCAACAATTCAGCGCCGGGTACTGATCTCATCCGGTACACGACACTTCGAAATCTCAACGACGCAGATCACACGCACCTGGTGGACACGTTTCACTAGCATTTACAGAATGACACAAAGCCCAAGCATGGCGACATGCGCGAATTTCCTTCATCCCAAAACCAGAGAAAACCATATCCGTCGAAAATTTGTGACCAATTTCTTTTACGGCATGTATAGTCAATCTCATGCAACATGTTGTCCTGCGGTGCTTGCAGCCATTTCTCGAGAGCCAGTCTTCTTCTCGCATACGCACTTAAGCTTTCGCTTGCACTTATCGAAGCAAGATTGTTACTCCAGTTAATGGAGCAGGTTTTAGGTCCATCGCGGGGTGTCCAAACCTACACTTTGCTTGCGCTAAACCTCAATTCGGCCTTGGACAATGTGGAGCATGACCTTAATCTCAGCAACCTAGCCAAATCACGCTGCAAAATTCATATTTATAACTATGTCAGAGCCTTTCTTCATAATCGTACCGTATTATTGGTTTAGGCTCGCATCGCTCAAGTATCATTCACCTTCCAGGCAGAGGCACCCCTCAAAGAGCTGTGATTTCACTAGCATTATTTATTATTGCTATGTCAGGTCACCCTAAGTAACTTGACTGAATATAAGACCTGTTTCATGCCACCTATGTAGACAATAGCACGGTGTGGACATTTCGGAGTTCCGACGGTGAAATTCAAGACTGGCTTCAACAAGCGGTAGAGGTCGTGTCAGACTATGCTGTACGAAGTAGCTCCACTGTTGATGAAAAGAAGTCTGAGCTCCTTTTTTCGCGGCCGCAGTAGAAATACACCACCCCACATCAATGTACTCGTTGAAGACACACCTAGCCACAGATAGAGCAAGCACGCATCCTTGGACTTTATGTTGAAGCAGATGGCAGGGCACGTTCCACCATCTCAACACTCTCCCGCCAGACGGAGCTGACCAGCGCAATATTACTACGCGTAAGTAATAGACGCTCAGGACCTGGGGAGTGGGACCTGATTCGACTATATATGCGTGCATTATAAGTCACTTCAGTTATCACCTTCCATTTCACAGGCTAATGCAAGGACACTATGAACGAGTAGACAAAATCTTCCGTAAAGCCATCGAGGTTGCTCTTGGTCTTCCGCATCATACTTCTGAGCAGCGCCTTTTGTCACTAGGAGTGCACAATACCCTCAATGAAGTACCCGAGGGTCAGTGGATTAGTAAAAGTCAACGCCTTAATCTCACACCAGCGGGTAGTCACGTACCCCACCACCTAGGTCACCCAGTCCCTCCTGAACTTCCGAAAATGCAGGACTCTTCTCCGCCACTCGAAATAGCTTGAGCGCTTCGCGTACATCCCCTGCCACGCAACAATCATCTTGAGCGTGACATCGGTCATCGACGGGCTTCAATGAGATACCTGAATTGCACTCTCACTGACGTTAAGGAGAATAGGGTCTACAACACGGACGCGGCTCGCACTACAAACGGACACACACTGGTGGAGGTTAGAGGCACTCATGAGATCGTAAATAAGGCCTCAAGCACTTCCTTATCTTCAGCCACCAATTCGGTTGACAACCTGCTGGTTAGCTTGGCAATCAACGCACCTTGTGCCTCTCTGCGGAAGCATGCTACATACTAAAAGCTTTACAAGCGGCATGTCGGGCTTTTCTAACAGGTCGCGACATTCTTGAAATATCCCATTCTATTCTCTTACGCTCATCCAAAGCTGCTTCACTCAACAGACACAATATACACCTGCTCTGGATTCCTGGTCATGCCTCATTGTCGAGTAATGAACGCGCTCATGCGGTTACCCAAGAACTCACCTTCTGAGCGGTTCCGTGCATTGAGGCGTAAAGCACAGAGAAAGGTTTCTCACTTCTCACATATCACGACGTCACACACCATTACATTACGGTAACATTAAGGCAACATTACACAACACCACGGCAACGACAGCAATACCAAATCTCACCAGACTCCTTCATACACGAGGAGGCTGTAGCACTTTGCCAACTGCACACCGGAATTTTTCCGAACCTCCACTTCCAGAATAAAATTTGCCGGACTCGTTATACTAATGCCTGTCCAGGCTGTGGCGCTATCCCCACAACTTTTCACGTTACCGTAGAGTGCTCCGCCGCTTACTTCCCTTGCGTTCCTACTATCCTTAGGTCCACCCGTACCCCAGAACAGTGGAAAGGCACCCTTTGCGACGGCGTCGCCGAGGTCAGGTGGGCCCTCATTCTCAGAGCCCAGGCTGCCGCATAGTCCTCGTATAGGGATGCCTCCGGTTTTAACGCGATAGCGTTGAAGAGCGCGTGTCGCATAAAACCCGCCGCCAGCGTCGGCCCCATTAGTTGTGAGCGAAAAATTGTCTGTGCGTCTGTGACCAAAAAATCAAGTTACTGAGACATGCGCGGAAGGCTGTTGTCCACGCGTGCGCACGCGATCACACTGAAAAAGCCGCGCATTCGAAAAAAAGTGCCTAGGTCACGAGGCACTGTAGTTTCTTTGCCCTGCCAACCCTCCCTGCTTAGCCTCTAGCACTTTCGCCAGAACGAGGGAATAGATAATGCGATTGGAGCATGCAAGCAACCTTTGCAACTCCACTCGCTATGGACAGATTCCTAGAAATTTTGTGTTGTTGAATTCGTGAGGCAATAAGCTCTTCTACTGAATTCATTCCATGTTCACTTGAAAAAGTGTTTCAGGGCCCCTTTAACGCATTTTGTCTGACAGGTGTCACGACGAAAACAAGCCCATTCGGCGACAAAGGTGCGCGTTGGTCCAATCTACTGTGTGCGTATTTGTGCGCGTGCGCGTGTACGTATCACAACAAATGAATAAGTATGCACTTAGCGGTCGACGGGTGCGCTAGAACCGGATTTCACTTTCGCGTTCAACATTTAAAGGCGAAGCTTAAGGGTCCCCCATTTTTTCTTATAATTTTCATAATACAATGTTTTCATCATCATCCCAGTTCAAAAAAACACCAGAACGTTTGCAGCCTAAGCAATCTTTGATAGCTTGTGCGACATGTCTTGCACGTAGGATATTACGGCAGGCTGGCTCTTTCTGAAACTGTCGCGCTTCTGCGGTTTGTCGGCTTTTTAATGACAGTGACCAGCTTCTTCGCCACCGAAACGAGAAAATGCAGGGGGTGACGAGCTTTTGTCAGACACTCCACTTCTAGAGCAAAGCTGTGGTGCACCATGTAGGGGCAAGACTTCTTTAGCTGTTGGCAAGGCAGAGGCTAGCAATGCTCCACTTAACCAATTTTGAGCGGGTGGCTATTTTTTTCCAGTCACGTGGCCTTGCAAGAAAAAGTATACAGAAAAACGTGGATGCGTGAAACATATAAGAATGCCGTGAAGCCACTGCATTTCATACAATTTTAAACGATGTCAACGTCTGCTACAACTATAGCCGTGTGGGACTGAATGGTGTTGAAAGCCGTAAACGATTTAATTAAATAAACTTGTTTCTGAAAAAAATATCACATTTACAGAAGAGTGTATATGAGCGGACTGCCAATAATCTATACTAATAGTTGGTGACTCCTGAAAAAAGCCCAAAAGAAAAGAGCACTATTTTCTTGCTCTAATCAACCGTGGTGCGACCCGACTTGGGGTGGCACAAAAGCGGGAGTAGCAGCAACCGCGCGATTCACGCCGCTTTCGGAGAATGTGATTTGCCGCACTGTTTATTTTTCAATCTAGCAGCCATACCTATACCCCCTCCAGCATGTTGCTTGCATAATAAAGCTTTGGGCACATGTGCAAGCAGCGCCATCTATTGCCACAAATAGTGGTGGCCTTCGGTAACTAAATGAGCAACGGGATAAAAATCATATCTGACAAAAAACGCCCTAATCAAGAACAACTCCCAATCTATGTAGCAAAAGCCTTATGCTAAAATACAGTGTTAAACTACGCACCAGTTGGCTTCCCAGAGTGTTTATTATTTACAACCAGGCCTCGAGCTTCAAATGGGTGGTGTCCAATTGTCCTGAACCCCACAAGATTTGTATTGAGGTACTGTAAATTTAACCTAGATATTCTTGAACGTACCTACTTTATAGATCCCGAGTTGCAGATGAGGACCTTTCTTCGAGATATATAAATTTACTCCCACTTATTTCCAATTTCGTTATGAAGGGTGCCGCAGCCGTAAAATGCTGCACTTGTTAATGAAAGTTGTCAACTTAGCTGAAGCTCTGTGCCATTTCCACTCTCGCTATGCTCTTTGGTGAATTTATCACTTTAGGTATCAACGAAAGTTAGTGAACATATATATTCTGCTATTCTGGCACATCACTGATGGTAATACTCATACGCAGACCTGAGGAATGACTGTAATAGCTGTACGTAGTCTGTTGAGAGGCACCGATGCGATGTCCACGCCGTCGATAAGGATCCGCCCGCCGGTGCTTTTCAGCACTCGCAGTAAGGCAAGTACCAGGGACGATTTCCCGGCTCCAGTTCGACCTACAACACCAACCTGAAATGGCATTAAAACCCTAGGTGAAACAGAGGGAAATTTTCTCGCATGTATTTGAATGATTGAAGAGAAGGAAGGAAGAGAAATACTGGCCGTAGATATAGAAAAAATATCGACCCTTGTCGCATATGAGGAGCGCAAAATAAATCGGGTACAAAGAAGACATGACAGAAAAGGCGCTCCAGGAATAATTATTTCGAAGCTCGTTCCTATTTCAAATAAATCGTCAATTTGCTTAACTGAGCCCCACCACGGTGGTACTCTACTACTGACCCGCAGGTCACGGGATCTGAACACGGCTGCATTTTCGATCGAGGCGAAAATGCTGAAGGCCAGTGTGCTTAGATTTAGGTGCACTAAAAAGAACTCAGGTGCTCGAGATTTGCAGAGCCCTCCAATACGGTGTCTCATAATCATATGGTTGTTTAGTGAGGTTAAACTCCATACATAAATCAATGGGATAACTGAAGCTCTTAATTTTCATGATATTGAATGACCTACCTTGTATACGTCAAGCAGTGTGTCAAGCTTTTCTGCTTAGCAGTGGTCGCACTTGAATTTTACGCAAATAAGAAAGAAATTTACGCAAATAAGAAAGTAAGAACGCTATTATTTGCGTCCATCTACTTACAAACAAAGGACCATTAGTACGGTCGAGAAACTTGAAGGCTTCAGTGACTGCAATTTTTGAAAATCTAGGATTACTGTTCTTTTGCTGGTGTCGAATACGAAGCAAATAACTAACAAAGCAAATGTAGCGAGAAGTTCAGATCTGTTTTCATATTGCTTGTACGCCTTCAATATTGCCGTGGAAGTGGCACCGTGGTCACGATGCGACTCCGAGGCGGAAATGTTAGCGGCCCGTCATCCTAGTGTCGAGTACAGAAATGCTTTCACTGCGGCACGCTTCCTACTCACATCACGTTTTTGGCGCATAAAACTCGAACACCTTTTATTGCAAATATGGTTATTTATATCAATATTATCTTCAGAATCAGTTCTGTGAAAAAGAAGCGTAACACACCTACCCTCCTCTATAGACCAACTGACCGATGTCACTGCTTTTGAGGATGCTCTTGAATGCTCTTCGCAGCTTTTCTTTATTATTTTCGTTCTTGTTTTTCTTGTTACATTGTAAAATCTTACACACTACCTTCTGTAACACATTCGGGCCCTATATGTACTAAAATAAATAAATAAATAAATGATAAACAGTGAAGGAAGAAGTGCTTTAGAAAAACGCCGATTTCATGCACAGACAAAAAGATAGCTGTGATATAACGATATACCTGACCGTAAATCAAGACCATAGTTTATTAAGTCACCTAGGCTATTCGGTGACAGAACAGGAAAGATTGCATGTTATCTCCACGGTGCATGTCCCTGCTTATGACCTTGCAGAGTTTAAACGCTGTGTGAAGTCTTATTGCCTTACAAAATAACCGAAGCCAGCGATTTCCAGTACCCTTTATGCCTTCGTGGGCGACAGGCATTTTCCTTTTTTTCGCCCAAATTGATGCAACAGTCCCCATTTTGAAGCTTTTTGTACCTTGTACCTTCAAATTTGTGCGTTGCCTCCACGGTTGACGTACCTGATGTCATGGTGACGTCAAGGTGATGACTCGAAGCCGTATTTTTAGGTACTAACATTTATTTGCGAGCCGAAAATAAGCATGCAAAAAAGATTGAGGCTCCATAAATGGGCAGGAAAAACGCACTGTAAACTTACAAAGTCGTAAATGAAAGCAGAATCATGTTCACAAAGGCCAGCGATTTCTAAACAAACGCGTGCATGACCTGATTGTATGAAAGCAAAGTATAAATGTTACTGTTTCTTATGGTCCAAAGGTGCAGAAACTTAACCAGACCCATGCAATTGTGCTATTTTCCACATGGTTTGCAGAAGGTGGTATCTGGTTTTATTCTCTAGCATGTACACTGTCGATTGAAGCTACGCTCATGAGTATGTTTTTTTTTTCGCATGGCTGAGAAGGATAGCACAAGGGCAGGTAGCTCTACCGCTAAAGAGCAGAAGAAAGAGATGCCTCGTTTTGACCAGGTATAGTTACATAGTGACAATGTCTCCACTACCGATAAGCACCTTAGGAAGTAGAGTATAAAGCAAAAGCCGCGTGCACATCACATTTTTCTTCAGACCAGAGGGTCGAGGTTTGCCTCTGCGTCGTAGATAGAAAGTTGGTAATTATGACGAAGATGATGATCATAGCTTTTGTGAAGAGTCGTGCTCACTTTGGGCGATAGGCCAAAAACTAATAGTTTCTAAGCAAAAGTGATTACATAAAGATTCTTTGTTATGATCATGTAGTGGCATCACCTTCTACTTCCTCTTGTTCTTCGCTCCTTGGAGGCATACGCCAATTTATTCGGTGAGGTACACCCAATCTCTGCCATCTGACAGGTGAGAGAAAGAGTACAGAAGGAGAGAGAAACACACAAACATTATTCTTGGCATAAAAAAATATTTCCTGCCGAAGTGAGATTCGAACTCGTGCACATACGATTCGAAGACTTACGATGCAAAAGCATTGCCTTGGCAACATATCCTGGCCTACAGCGACGAGGTGGGAAAGGTACCGTTTGGAAGAGGTGGGTGGGCACAGAGAGAGAGAGAGAGAGAGAGAGCAAGAAGCTGAAACTTATGGCAAGAGGCAGTTGCAGACATTGCAGCCGAAGCCGCTCGAAAGAGAAAGAGAGAGAAAACAATAAATATAAGGGAAATCCAATGTGGTATTAAATAGTTTATAGGAAAAGTGTGTAAGAACCCCAGTCTGTTTATAAAAAGCAAGGTATAGCCATTAAACTAGCCTAGATGCTTAAAATGCTCCAGAAGTGCCTGCATAATGTCTGGGGAGGAGTCCATCAGCCACTCATTCGAGGTCGTGAGTTGGTAGTCATGTGAGGCTCTTGCCCATGTCTGTACGATCACTCATACAATCACCCACAACGTGAACATTACCGTGAATCCAACGTAGACTACGTAGGCAGGAGAGCAGTATTAAAGTGTATGCAGTACTGAATGAGATGTGTCATTAAACAGTGAGCTTGACACGTCTCACCAGGGCTGCCTCGCGTTTCGTCATAGAGTGAGGTGGATCGGAGTACGCACTGCGTCTAATTGTTTACGCCTGCCTAACTGGACTATAATAAGTAATTTCATTCGCTTCAAATAACCTGGTCATTATAGGGGAGAGCCCGATGCTAATTATGCCCTTCTCTTGCGTGGGACATCACTTAATTCCCTCTGATGCGCGAGTGACCAGGCATTCATCGTGTTAGAACACATAAGTAAAGGTGAGCTTCGAAGTTCTTCGTTCTTAGGCTGTAGTATTGCGTGTCTGAAATATCACCTGTCGCGAGGGCTTGACAGGTTGCTTGTTTATCTGTGCGTGTTAATATACAATGTACATTTGGGTCGAACATGGTAGCTGCCTGCACTATGGCCATGATTTCTGCCAAGTTAGAGTGGAAGTCCTAGGGTAGTGCTAGTGTGTCGAAAGCTACTCCCGTTCGAAATCCCTCGCCAGTCTGAGACAAAGATCGATCCGTGTACAGAATCCACTCTCCTGTGGCTTCTTGTAGACGTTGAACTCATGCTAGACTTTGTCCTGTATGGGTATCTCGATCCACGTGCCGCGGTACAGGTTTGACGGTGATCTGATCATTCATGAGAACCCGCGGGGTTCCTTCAATGGCGACAGGTGGAGTTATGTATGGTAACCCAATTCGCGAAGCAGGGTGTGATTGTGTAGAGTGTACTTAGGATTGGGTCTCTCAATGAACGCAGGCTGCTCCGACCCACGAAACTCTCGTCTGATGCTCCAAGAGCTTCACGTTGGGTAGCCAGTGTCGGATCTTGCTATGAGAGTGCCGCTCTCGGAACGCACGAAGACGATTCTGTCGGACAAATCGAACACTGTATACACTTATTCAATTACTTTTAGAGGCAAGATATTGTCAGCCGAATCACTAGTGACAGTCTAAAGCAATCTTATAGAATATTCTAGTACGCCAGATGAAAATAAGCAATACAAGGCAACGCGAAGGCGGCTTCGCCAATGCTGACCTCATCCTAGGGTCCCAGGGGACACCGCCCGTGGTTTCCACTTGCCGCTGACCCTAGTTAGAAAACAACTATCACGTCAGGCGCCAAACACCAAAAATAGTTCCGAATATCTTCTGTCTGGCCACCTAACTTCACCGCAGTTAGGCACTGTTCGCGCTACAGTGTTAGCTATAATGATGACGATCATGATTTCACCCAACTAGAACGCCCCTCTCGCTCAGCGGTTAAACCTTAATGTGGCCCATTCGCAAGCCACGTGCGTGCCCCGATGCGCAAGTGACTAACACGGGTTGAAAGCGCCCCAACAATTTGGGCTAACTCGTCGAAATTAGGAAGGATAGCCATTCCTCAAGCCCTATCAGATTTGGCTTATTGAGGTGTATCTAATATAGTGCGAAACATCTTACTCAGCAGGGTGTCGAGCTTGGATATTGGGCTTTCGTTTTTCAGTATATGCATATTGATAAATTACATGAAGAATGGCTAAGGGCCCGGTAATGCGCTGAAGTTAGTGCTTTTTGACGTCTCTCAACTTGCGCCTCGTGCAATTCGAAAGATTCTGAACTTGTTGAAACTGTTGCATGTCGAAGCCACTCCTACGACTTGCTGTCATCTTGCAACCAGAAACTTGGAACTTTTGTAAAGGACTTGCCTGGTGGGGAATCACACTGTATATAGTGTGTAACAAGATACCGCAATTCATGAGCGTTTGGAAGCTTCTGATTTGTGACGAGGTTAGTGCTGGATTTGGCCCTCGATAGAGTGAGCCCTCTTTATTCAAGGTATGGAGCAGTAGTGTCAATAGCCGGCTGTAGCGTGTGCTGTATTTGTGGTAGGAGAACCTTTTCCGGTCCAGAAGGTGATGTAAAATAAAGGTCTGGTACAGATCTGAGATCAGTTTACTGAGCACTGAGAG